CACTGGAAAAGAATAGAACTGTATTCCATTGATGAATTTTGATTTTATGAATGACTCGGTTCCTTTTATATTATAATATATTATAATATATTGACTTATTTGGCTACTTTATTCCTTTTTTATAACTTTCAGTATCGCTCTTATCTTTTTCCCTTTTCTCGAAATTGGGCTATCGTTCTTATCAWCGTAAAGGAATACTATCTGTCATGGATGTGACATGGTTTTATGTCAGTTGGAATCCTTAGTTTGCCTCTAAAAACTCTACTATGTTTGTGTATTTGTTTATTTGTCTCTCGCTGTGTRTCATTCTATATTTTGATTGAAGAGTTTTTGTCCTACATACATGTATTGTTATTATTATTATCCCTCGTGATYATCTCCTCTGCTCTTCTTTACTCTCTCCTGTTCAATGCTTTAGCAATACCTRTAAATTRTAGGTCATGCCAATAAAGCTATTTCAAACMTCATCTCCCMTCCCGTCCCCTCTCTCCCAATCTGGTTATCAAGCATGAAAGATTCCTTAATGCAACTTAATCCCTGATCTCCTTCCGATCCGACAATTACGTATTCCGGTTTCAGAAGGCCTGGTTTGACGTCACATTTGGGGTCATCAAGGAGGTCCAGGATATATTGATTGAGTACGTTCCGGTCCGATCAGTAAWATATTGTCTGGTGTCTAGAACGCTTTTCAAATCAGTGCTTTCTCGGTATCAAATGGACTCGACCCTTCTCAAAAGTTTYGTGGACGCGAGGCTAACTTTGAAATACAAAAGATATCACTCTTGATCTCGATGGATGGCTTTTTTTATTATTATTATTATTTTCGTGTTAGCTCTTGTATCGCAATTGGTTTGGAACATATTGAGCGTTTAGTATCTATGTTCAACGGATGCTCTGGAGCTCATCTTATTGAGCGATGGATGGATGGATGGATGGATGGATGGATGGATGGATGGATGGATGGATGGATGGATGGATGGATGGATGGATGGATGGATGGATGGATATCAGGTTTTACGGTCTATTAAATAATTAGACAGAAATCTAGATAAGCCAGATTTCCAGGTCGACCCTCTTCAGTCGCTATGGGGTGGGCTAAGACAACATGGTGCATGCAGTCATACACGTCTATCTTGACTACCACCGAGCTTATATATATATATTGCTTTTTAGTTTTATGGATTCCCAATAGAATAGGCTGGAAATAACAAACGACAGGCTGCTACATGCTAATTGTTTGATACCAGTTTCGTTAAATTCCAAAACTATGACGTCACATACCCAGAAAATACCTGTATTCAAGATAATTGATCTTTTAAATTTATCTTTCCTTTCTTTTTTATTTCTTATACACTTCAGACTACTTCATTCGTTGTCTTGAAAGTTTAAACCAATCAGAGCGCTACTTTTGTTCATAACTCGACAACTAACGCATGCATAAAAGTGCTCTGATTGGTTTAAAATTAGTGATGTATATCATACAATATCATGCGGTTGCCCAATGATGTCACTCTCTATTGGATGGTCATTATGAAAGTCTATTTAGTTTTTTTTTTCTTTCTTTTCTTTAACATAACAATAGACCAAAATGGTTGATACACATTTTAGGCGGCCTCGTTTCATTTCCTAGAGTATCATTTCTTTGTTTAATTCAATGAATATGGAAACAAAGAACCTTATTCTCTAGGAATGACACGTGGTAGGAAATGGCTAAACATTGCACCAAGACAAATGAGGTCTATTAAAAGAGCCATCATGTTGCATTGCAGCCCCGATGACGCCTYGTATTATATGCGGGTAGAAAATCAGTCGCGCGGTTCAACCCCACATAGATGCAGTTTTTAAGCTTCGCACTTGTAGCATACACACAACTCCTGGTGCGTGACATCGTAATTACCGTTTACAGAAAATATAGCCGAAACATGAAAGGCTAGTGTTAAGATCTATGGCATTTTATAAGCTGAACAATATTAACTTAACAAAACCCAATATGATATGACTTAACCAAAACCTAATTACCCTGGTCCCA